CTCCACATTTTTATATCAAGTTGAAAGTAATTTCCAATGATCTGTCTGTCGAGCTAAGAGTACACGATATCCGTCATGGGATATGTTTGTCATATCGGTATTGAAGTTTCTTTCATCCGCCAAGTAATTAATTTTCAAGGTGAATTTCAACTCTGGTTGACGTTGCTCAACCTGTATTTACAAATAATATAGCTAATGTGATCATTTGCCACATATAATTTTTGTGTGAATGTACTTCAAACAGTACTCATTCTTTCTCATCTTGGCGGACGATTCGTTTTGTTTTGGTTAAAAGGGATTTTTTACAGGGCGTTTCAGGTTATTTGGAAAATTACCCGCTTCAGGCGTCTCGCGTTATGCTCATATCAGTCAAACAATGATTCTACGACCTTCTACATAATTGGTTACCTTTCCGATGCAAGTTCCCGAGCACAACGAACCACGTTGTCTGTGATCGTATTCGATACCATGTCACGCACGTATCTCAATAGTTATGCATCCTGGATTTTCAATCACAGTTTATCTGTGCCATACCAGGTACAATCTGATTAGCACGCTATCTGGTTTTACCGGGACCCTCTCGTTTGATCGTATATTAAGTGTTCGCCTTACTAGACTATTTATTTGGAATGTGAGACTGGGTCAATCGGAAATATAGATATTGGTTTACCGGAGTAAATCAAACGCAATAATTCGAACGAACATTGAAATACCGTTGATTCAATCTTCGATGGCACGTGTACTTGACTAGTATTCTTTATTGCACCGTAATCTTTTTTCTCAATTCCACCGGTAGTCAGAAAATTGTATGAGGTGCACTCTTGACTGGCGCCTCCCTTCAATTTTGAGTTGCCGCACTTTGGACGCATTCTGTTTTTCAGCTTAACCGTTCTTCTCAAGTAGTCAGCCGTTAAGCAGTTCAGTTAGTGTCACATCTTTGTATTGGTATCCAATATCTCCACTGATTGGTGATATCCATTTTAATGAGATGCTCTTTCGACTTCAATCACGCACACAAATACACTCTGGTAGATTATTTAAAAGTTACGTCATGACAGATAAATAAATTGAATTCATAAAGCGAAAACCGTTTTCTTGCTGTCCTTGCAAAGAAGTTCGCAGAGATAAGATTGTAGAAATAATGTTGACCTAAGATCAACGAGGTTAACCATAGCAACATCACTTGGAATTTAACACACGTGATGAACTGGTATTATGAAATTCCAGTCCACGAGGCTGCATGATAGGAATACTGATTTTTCTCACACTCAAAGCCACCGTTAGCGGCTAGTCCGTATGATGTTGATCGCCGTGCTAATCAATATACAGTACTGGCCGATTGTGATGCACTAAAATATTTTCTTCATGATCAAATGAAGTTTTATTACATTTATCACCTGCATTAATGCTTTAGGTATGGACAATAATTTATATCTTGTCTATTTCGATCTACTTAGTTTCTAAGCTGCATGATTGCCAATTAAACATGCCTGACCTTGGGTGCCAATATTAAATGATCTCAACATGGAAATCGCAACCATTGTCAAGTATGGAAACGCAGTATACTCTAATAGGAGTGACTCAAGAGTTATCCCAAATCACTTCCATAAACCCTTGCTATCTCGGTTATTTGTTATGAAGCATTAGTTTATCTAATATATAATTCATTATAACAACTCTATTGAATAACCGAATGAAATTCTTTCACAACTCGGAGAAATTGCATTAAATAAGCTTTCATAATAATAATCTGTTTGATATCTAACTCACTGAATTCATGAAATACCATTTTAATCAGTCAACCTTGAAATTAAGGTCATTTTTGTGCACAGCTTTGAATGTTCGTATTGTTGTCACCATAATGACGAAAGCAGCTCTCGAAACCAAACGTTCTCGTTATATCAGTGACGAGGACAGAAACAGAATTGTACGAGCACACAAGCTTGCCCAGTGCTTTAACGGTAACAACAGCACAATTTACAGGATAATCCATAGAAAAATAATAACCAGAACAGCTTATGGAGGCCGTAAACTGAGTATGTCCAAACGGGAAAAACGACTTAATTCGTATTAGGCTGAAAAAACATTGCACAAAATCGTTGTTGTTTATCCAATGGGAAGATCTTCCCCACCTCTGAAAGCCTCAGAAGTGGAGGTCTCGGGTTGAGGCTTTAACTCTTTCTTTGCACCTCATGAAATGCTCCGATTTGACCAACAAACAAACAACTTTTACTGAAGAAGTCCCAGCCACTGTCTTCTTCTAACGGAGGATTTTTCCCCACCAAAGTGACGGGATGAAAAACCAACTTCCGGTGATACAGGCAGGTCCGCGAACCACTGGCAGTTCATCTGAGGCAGTTGGCGTTAAACCCGGATTCCAAACCAACCAAGAATATATATATATATATATATGGAGAGAGAGAGAGAGATTAATTCTAGGTGCTATGGCAATGGGGCGATATGGGCCATCAGTTGTCCAGTCGTTGGTGTTTTCGTCCTGCTTTACCGTCACTCAGATCTGATTGGTACGTCTTTCTCACCCGTCCAATTACCCACTTATATTTGCGTATCGTGTGATGATCAATATACGACCTTGACGTTCTCCGGTTGTGATTTTCCTCCGTACCATTGTTGGGGGCTAGGCAAGAGGTGTTCGTATCGATCGCATGTCCAACCAAGAACATGACACAAATCAGACTAACGTCACGGGTTCCACCACCTAATGTTCTTTCTACATCGC